CTGTCCATGGGATTCTCCAGGCAAGAATACTGGAGTGGGTTTCCATTTCCTCCTCCAGGGGGTCTTCCTGACCCAGTTATTGAACCTGCAAATCCTGCATTGGCAGGCAGATTCTTTACCGCTGTGCCACCTGGGAAGCCCAAGTTATTATATATAAGTGTGGGATTTTAAGTATTTTGCAACATGGAGAATTTAGAGACATTTTAGAGGAATATTAAAACATTAAAAGTCTCACACCAAATATGAAAATATCACTTATTTTCTAAAAGAAAAGCCATGAGAACCTTTAATATATTTTATAATGTTGACAGGACTTCGTTCATAAGGGCAAAACATTTATCTCAATATTAAAATGAAAGAATTACCGAATTTATGAGCTAGACCAGATTTTCATACATTATCTAAACCGAGATTCTCAGCATGACACCACTGACTTTTTCAGATTATTCTTTGTTGCAGAGAGATTTCCTGTGTATTGTAGGATGTTTAGCAGCATGTCTGGTCTCTAACCATTATATACCAGAAGCCCCCCCCCCCCGCCCCGCCCCCAACCCAGTGTGACAGAAATATCTCCAGATATTGCCAAGTGTCCCTGGAGGACAAAAGTGTCCACCACCCAAGGACCACTGCTATATGACAGGGAAGACTGTCATATGACTAGAGAGAACTTCTCCTGCGATCCTGAAGCAGTATGTGGAGGATGCAATCAAAATCACATGTAGGAGGAAGAAAGAAATTGAATAAGGTAAAGGTGTCTAACATTAATTTCTACAGCAAAATGAACACCTGTTCTATTTAGATGCTAATAAGACCAGAATGACATGGAAGTTTGCATTTTGTAAAAATACTTTTATATAATGATAAGATATGAAGGGTAGAGTTAGGACCCAATATTTATGCTTCCCCAAATTCATATGCTGAAACCTACCTACACAGTATTAGGAGGCCTGGGGCCTTTGGGAGGTAATTAGGATTAGATGAGGTCATGAGGGTGGGATCTTCAGGAATGGGACTCACGTCCTTGAAAGAGTCACAGAGGGCTTCCCTGAGGGCTCAGTGGTAAAGAACCCGGAGCCAAGGCAGGAAACGCTGGGTAGATACCTGGGCGGGGGGTGGGGGAGATCCCTTAGAGTAGAAAATGGCAACCCACTTCAGTGTCCTTGCTTGGGAAATCCCATGGACAGAGGAGCCTGGCAGGCTACAATCCATAGGGTCACAAAGAGTTGGACATGACTTAGCAATTAAAGAACCACCACAACAAAGAGTCACAGAGAACTTGCTTCCTCCCTCTGCTCCCCACCCTGGGAGGATACAACAAGTCCCCTGTCTGTAGCCTGCAAGAGGACTCTCACCAGAACTTGCCCAGGCGGACATCTGACGTTAGACTTCTAGTCTTCAGAATGTGAGAGATTAATTTCTGTTTATAAGCCATCCGTCTGCCAAAGCAGGAGATGTAAGAGATTCAGGTTCAATCCCTGAATTAGGAAGATTCCCTGGACAAGCAAATGGCAACCCGCTCCCGTATTCTTGCCTGGAAAATTTCATGGACAGAGGAACCTGGTGGGCTACAGTCCATAGGGTCACAAAGAGTTGGACATGACTGAGCACACATATACCGTGAGCCACCCAGTTTACTGTAGTTTGGCATGGTAGCCAGAACATACCAAAGCATCATCACGAAAACAGAAATGTATCAGACTAGTCTGGTACAATTAAGAACTTGCTGACGAGTCACTACTAGTTAAGAGTCTGCAATCATACCAGTTAGCTTTACCACATTTAAGAGGTGTACCAACCTCCCCAACTTTTTTTTTTTTTAATTAGAAGTAAAACTAACCTGTATGCAAATCCAGTATGGTAAGCCACTACATACAAAGGGGCTCTGTTCCAAGAGCACATTCATAAGTCCAGTTTGTTCATAAGCCCAACAAAGTTAGCCTAGGTACCCAACCCAATGAGCTATACAGGACTGTGCTATAATAGGTGTATAATATTTTTCACACAAATCATACATAAAAAACAAAGTCAAAAATAAAACATTTTTAATCTTACAGTACAGTACCTTGAAAGGTACAATAGCTGGCTTACAGGGGCTGGCATGGAATAAACAGGCAAGAAGAATTAACTAATGGAGGAGGGAGAAGAGGTGGGAGGTGGTACAGCTGGAGGACCATCAGCAATGGGAGACAGAGGGAAAGCTGAAATTTCACTCATGCCTGACGATGGCACAGGTTCTGCTTCCTTGCTGGATTCAGTTCCATCTACTCTCTTGAAAAAACAATCCAGTAATGGCTGGGTGGTAGCTCTCTCTCTTTTTTCTTTTTCCTCCTCATAGGTGGCATAGTAGCCCTGGACTGCATTCTGAATGGCTGTTGCAAGATTGTGTACCATTCTATGTTGAGTCTGGTGCCTTAAAAAGTTACTCCTCAAATAAAGAGAATCCCTTGCCATTTCCTGAATTGTGACTCTCTCCGGTTCTTCAATACTTTTTCTTTCCCTTGTCTCTCTCCATTGTTTTTCTGGGACTCCAATTCCATCAGGTCTTCATTAATAAGCCCCTTGCATTGCACAGCAAGGAGTTCAATGAAGTTATCTTCTTGCAGATCTAGCTTCAGCTTCTCACTGAGGGTCACTAAGTTGCCAAAGATGGACTCCTCATCTACCTTCTCAAATCCAAGAAAATCATGAACAAATTGTAGGCAAAGGTTCTCCCAAACTCCATTCACAGTGACACCAGTAACCTCACACCAAGGGAAGTGAAAAAAAAAAAAAAAATGGCCTTGTGGATGTTAAGAGTCCTTCCAAAATTGTTTCAGGGTTGTTCCTGATTCATCACTTACCCTTACTGCCTGATGAATACTGGGTCATAAGTAATATTTCTTCAAAGTTGCTATAATGGTTCACAGGTTGGGTGAGCAACATAGCATTCAGTGGAAGATGCACTGCTTTGAAAATGGGATGAAAACTGTCCGTGAGTGGGGAGTGGCCTGGAGCACTGTCAAGCCACAAGAGAATGTTGAATGGGACGTCCTTCAGGTAATATTTCTCTCCCTTTGGGGTACTGTGGTGGAAAAATCAATCTTGGGAGATGCCCTGTGTAACCCAGGCTTTGGGGTTACTCTTTCACACAATACGAAGAGAGCCCCTGGCTATATCTTTAGGGCTCTTGGTTTCTCTGAATGATAAACTAAGAGAGGTCTCAGCTTGATATCAGAAGCATTGCCACCAAACAACAGAGTTAGCCTAGCCTTTGCTGCTTTATAGCCTGGCATCAGCTTTTCTCCGTACAGATGTAACTTCAGTCTGGCATCCTCTTCCAGTACAGCCCTGTCTTATCCATATTAACAACCTGCTTGGGTAAACATGTGTCTTCAGCAGTAATTCCCTAAAGTATTACAGGAAATTCCCAGAAAGCTACAGTATCTTCACTGCCTAGTCACTTTTATGTTGTGAAGGTTGGCTCTAGCTTTGAACTGATGAAACCAGCTGTTGCTAACATTAAAAAATACACCCTCTAATTTTCACCGTATTTCTTCTTCAAGCCTTCATAAAGGCTTTTCACTTTCTCTTGAATCGGCATTAAACTGCGTAGCCCTCCACACTGATGCTGACCCTGCATCCACACACCGAGAAGGTTCTCCATCTTCTCCATCACTCTTGCCCGTTTCCTTGGTATTATCGTTGACATCATCGCACAGCAGACTTCACATGTTCCATGATCTTGTCCTTGCTCCTTAGAGTTGTGCCGATGGTCAAACAATTCAAGTCATAAGAATGAGCAATGTCTATCATCTTTTCGCCTCGCTCCACTCTCTCAATTGTTTTCACTTTTGTTTCCATGGTTATCACTTGGCACAGACTAGCAGTACCGTTACATCACTGCTGCTTTTAGGCTTTGCTTCCAGACACCCTGGGCTTGAGATAAAGATACTGTACTGCTTACTCTACACAGTACAGTAAAGCACACACAAGCAAAGCCAATGGCAGAGGTTGTATGCATGGGACAGTGTATGCCAGACACAGGAACTAACTTATGTGATTGGACATGCAAAGGCACGTTCATATCTTTGAAAGTTCACATCTTGCACATTCATATGTAGGAGACTTACTGGATTTAATAAATATGTGAACTGGAGGCAAGTTACTTAATTTCTTTGAGCTCTTTCCTCATTTGTAAAATTCAAATGATAATATAACTCATGGAGAGGTTAAAAAAAAAGTTCTAAATGAGTTTTGGTATGTAAGGAGCTCAGTTAATAAAATACATGATTAATAAATAGTAATGGTTATTATGAATATGAATTAGAAAAGCTGTGGTAAATTTCATCTAATAAAATTTGAATCCTCTGCTTTCGGAGTTGGTTTATAGACTGTGTGCCAGGAAATCTCTTTCTAATCTGTCAGCTAATGTCAACATAACAAAAAAAGTTTCAAAATGAAAGTTTTCTGATATGTCAAACATCGTTCCCCCATGTTAGCTAACTTCTGACTTAACCTTACGTGTGTACATGTCTTCTCCCAGTTGGATGGCAAATACCATTATTAAAAGTATTTTTTTATACTTGTTTTCCAATATTATGGCAAAATAGGTGAGAATTTTAACAAGCACACAATCTCAGAGCTTGCACTTCTTGAGTGCCCAGAGAACTTTCAAATGTAAACATAACTCAGGATGATTCCCATCTATCCAAAAATTAGGAAAACACCCAAGCATGACTATAAAACAAACAAACAAAAACTTAAAAAGAAGAATCATTCCTGCAGAATGTTTAACGTGATACTATCGAATTAACCAACTAATATCATGGTGCTACCCACCGGGAAAATCTGATCGTGGCACTTGGTCTATATATTCTTTCTATTCTGCAATAACATGTTAGTAGATTCTGCATTTAGCTACCCATCTTTTACATTTTCAAGTAACACCTGTGCCATAATAACTGTCCTTTAACCACCTGACTTTTCAATCACAGTTGGATGTGTGAAATAGCAGCACCTACCGTTGTAGTGTCTAATCGTGTCCACGGTTAAGAATCTCTTCACCACAAGATAAGCAGAGCCAGGCTCAGCTAATGAACTCCATCCAAGCACCTGTTCCAACACATTTTCTGTGTAGTGAAGAGGACGTTCTGCAAAAAAAAAAAAAAAATCAAATTACCAAAAAAATGTTACCTTTTTTTGATTATAAAATTTAAAACATCCTTTTAAAAAGCTCTGTGCATTACACGAAGCATGACTGTATCTTATAGTACACAAGAATAGTGCTAGGACTACATACAGGATACCCTAAGACCTGGAACAGCACTAATCATGTAATAAAATTCACTGTATAAATAAATCTGTGCAGAGACATCTGTTTGTTATTAACCTACATTTAAAAAAATTCAGAGGTGTTATTCTTTAGATGGGGCTTCCCTGTTAGCTCAACTGGTAAAGAATCCGCCTGCAATGTGGGAGACCTGGGTTCGATCCCTGGTTGGGAAGATCCCCTGGAGGAAGGCATGGCAACCCACTCAAGTATTCTTGCCTGGAGAATTCCCATGGACAGAGGAGCCTGGTGGGCTACATACAGTCCATGGGGTCGCAAAGAGTCAGTCACGACTGAGCGACTAGGCACAGCAGAGCATAGCATTCTTTAGATAAAAATCTCAGTTAGTGAATTACTCTACTTTTTAATTTAAAGAACATTCTGGTTTGCTTATGCAAAAATGCCTGTTTGCATATGCAATTAAATAATTGTGAAAGTACTAGTAATTGGTCCAGTACTACGTATAAATCCTTTGTTTATCCCAACAGGACTAGCATAATTTCTGATCAACACTAGTGAACAACTTATAGCTGATAATCAACTTATATGAAATTATAAAGTATAACTTCAAAAAGAACAGAAGATACCTTTAGCAAACAGTACTGAGTAATCTCTGTTTATTAGTGGAAATATCAATCAGAAACATTATGCAGCAATATTATCCATTAACAGTTCATATAATAGGATAACAAGCAAAAAGTTGATCACATCTTCACAATTTCTCCTTGATAAATACTCATCCATATATACTCTGTTTTTTGCAGCCATACTTTTAAATATATCACAAGTTCTTAGCATAGAGTTAACTAACCAAAAAACCCCACAGGTTTTTAGAATTACAATAAAAATTTCATAGGAAAGTTTTTTGCTGATCAAAATATGCATGTGTGCATACATGCGTGCTCAGTCATGTCTGACTCTTTGCAACCCCATGAACTGTAGCCAGCCAGGATCCTTTGTCCATGGGATTTTCCAGGCAAGAATACTGGAGTGAGTTGTCATTTCCTACTCCCAACCTAGGGATTGAACCCGAGTCTCCTGCATTGGCAGATGGCTTCTTTCCCACTAGTGCCACCTGGGAAGCCTAGTCAAAATATGCCAATCACTTAATAAAATCTTGTAACAGAAGCATATGCTGGGGGAGAAAAAAATCATGTCTTTTCATAGTGTACTGAAAATAGCATAATTGAAATAGCAAGAACATAAGCTCTAATGTGAAGATGTTGATGTAAGTTTCCTGGTACCACAGCCTTTATATGTCAATTCGACTCTTTCATAACCTCCTACTAGGGTTTTTGTTTTTGGTTAAAGTAGTAATGCCAATAACAAACAACAAAGTCTATGTCAACAGCATCACATTTGTATATTACCCAAGATATATACATAAGTCACAAGTAACAAAAAAGACCAATTGTATCACATTCTCTTTAGTACTGGTCTCCCTTTTATTAGCACAGCATTCTGGAACTTGTTTTTTTTCCTTCCAGTTTAAATAACTAGATTTTTTGCTTCCTCTTCAGTACAATGAAATGCAGTTCTACATTCTGTGCATCTTGCAGGCCTAGGCATTGTGATGGTGATTGCAAACAACAACGACAAAAAAACCCAGGGCAACTAAGTCGTACATCTTGGAGACAAACCTATTTCTTATTTATAAATATATCCCTTTCACGAAGCAGAGTGCTGAGTACATAATAGATGTTCAATAATAAATTCTTGGGGGATAAAATACCTTACAAATTTCTATGGTAATCCAGAAATTAACAGTAAATAATTGTAAATGGATCAGCAGACATATATACTTCTTTAAAATCAGGCAAAATCTTTTGTGCTACATTAATCCTGTTTTTTAAAAGAAATTTATAAAAGGTTTGGCAAAAATCTGGGACACTACTTATCCTGTTAACAGTTGCCATTTCTAGAATAACTATGTATCAACATAATATATACTGGCTACCTCACATCAGCTGCTGTTTTCAACTCTTACAACACATTTCATTACAAATTATCATTATTTATATACATGTAAAAGAACCCAAGAATGAGAGGTTCATCTACTTGCCTAAAATCAAACAGCTGATTCAAGTGAGGAACAGAGATTTGATTCTCAAATCTATCGGACTTTAACAGCCCCAAGCTCCAAATCATAACTATTACACTTGGTTTTACTTTGTACAGATATGTAAACCTTCCCATGATGATTTTCACATATGTAATTTTGGGGAAAAAATATCAACTCACCAAGATATTTCTGAGGACAAAAGGTAATATAGGCAAAGTGAAAAACAATGTCAATTCACACTTTGTCCTTCACTTTCCTATCCTTAGTGAGAAGATAGTAAGGAAATAAGATAGTTTTGACATCCTTTATGCCAGGAAATTCATCATACTGCAGTTGGCTTGGAGGTAGGAATGCTATTCTTAACTGCAAAATTACCTGGATTGAAATAAAAGCTTACTCTCCTTTATTATAAGAATTTGTAATGAGACTTCCAAATATTAGAACATTTGTATTAAAGAGTGTCACTATTACCAGTAGATAGAATAGTGATACCTCAAATGTACTCTTAGTTACACTGAAATATATCACAGCAGAGAGAGAGGCAAATATAGATTTACAAAAATTAGCCAAGTATGTTTTTCACATCAATATTAAATAATTCAAGAGAACGAAAATCCTTAAGATCCAAGATCCTGCATAAAAACTGAGCTGAAAAATAGGATGAAAAGATAAATACTTATTAGACTGTCAAATGACACAATTATAAAAGGGGTAAGAGGGAAAATGGACTGAGTCATCAAATGTTGTTGGAATATAAATTCCTACAAGTAAACAAGTTTTTGTTAATAGTTACATTTATAACCATCTGTCATGATAAATTACATAAGTCAGCTGGCATTAGGGTATTACTAGGGAAAAAAAAAACAAAAAAACAAAACCTGATTTGTACACTATTTATCCCTGGAGGAAGGAATGGCAATGCACTTCAGTATTCTAGGCTGGAGAATCACATGGAGAGAGGAACGTGGTGGGCTACAGTCTACAGGGTCATGAAGAGAGGGACATGGCTGTAATGACTTAGCATGCACTCACACTATCTGGAGCATTAATTTTTTTGCTGAAAATTAAGCATAATTATTTAAGAACAGGGTGTGGAGGTGGTTCTTTAGCTAGGTAAGTCATGTTCTCAATATTTTAAAATCTTGTCCATAGAATTAAACCTGGCCTCCCTTGTTAAACAAAGAATGATGCATTTCCACCTGAAACAATTGGTGTTATCCTTAAATTTCTGGCAGTAATGACATAGGATTTCCAGAGACAATTATGATTTCCTTAATAATTACAATTTTAGTGTCAAATCTAGAGCCATGCAAGTCTCTCAGAGGATGACAGCACCCTGTCAATCAAGAGAAGGACCAGAAAGACTCTGAATAAAAATGAACTGATCTTCCATCTCACGGTAGATATGAGAAGGAGGAGAACATTTTGTTACGATGCTGCTGTGTAGAAAGTAGCTACTTCACCAACTTAAGCCTCTCGATGAGGAAGCCCACTTAAATGAGGCCCCATGAGCAGTTAACTTTTTTCAGCATGTGAAGGAAATAAGGGGTAGAGTGCTACATTGGTAGGGTACCGGTTCATTCTTAAAGTGAAGCATTAAAATACCAGAAGTATGGTAAAAAATGATACCCTCTCCTAAGGCGGGTTTCAGCTTGTCCTGATGGCCGCCATCAGGACCCACTGGTGGCGGTGGGTCAAGAATGCTTGGCATCTTTCAAAGGATGAGACAGAGAAAGACTTGTTTTCTGTCTAGTACACGTTTCCAATGTCTCAGACACTCATTTCAAAGGAAATCCTACTTATCAACTGATAGCTTAGAATCTAACTAGCCTTAATATAAATTCTCAAAATATTTTATATGGATTTAACATGATGTATTTTTTCCATGAATCTTGACTGCTACAAAAGCGAAAAAACAAAAAATGATAATCGTGCTTTGTCAGAATTTTGCTGAGAGTTGTTCACCTGCTGTGCCTTGGATGTTTCCCCACTCCCCCAATTCACAGGCTGAAATCATTCCCACTGTGACACTCCTCTACTGATGGAGGGGCCTTTGGGAGGTGATTAAATCATGAGGGCAGAGTCCCCCCTAAATGGGTTTGTTGTTTAGTTGCTAAGTTGTGTCTGACTCTTTGTGACCCCATGGACTATAGCCCACCAGACTCCTTTGTCCATGGGATTTCCCAGGCAAGAGTACTGGAATGTGTTGCCATTTTCTTCTCCAGGGGATCTTCCCGACCAGGGATTGAACTTGTGTCTCCTGCACTGGCAGGCAGATTCTTTATTGCTGAGACACCAGGGAAGCCCCAATGGGCTTGATGCTCTTATATAAAAGGAATCCCTTAAAGTTCCATTTCATCATGCGACGATGCAGTGAAAAGATGGCCATCTTTCATCCAAGAAGCAGGTCCTCACCAAGCAACAAGTCTGCTGGCACTTTGGTCTTGGACTTCCTAGCCTCCAGAAATGTAAGAAATAAATGTCTCCTGTGTAATTCTGTTATGAAGTGAAGTGAAGTCTCTTAGTCATGTCCGACTCTTTGCAACCCCATGGACTGTAGCCTGCCAGTCTCTTCCACCCATGGGATTTCCCAGGCAAGAGTACTGGAGTGGGTTGCCACTTCCTTCTCCAGGGGATCTCCCCGACCCAGGGATTAAACCCGGGCCTACCCACATTGTAGGCAGATACCTTACCGTCTGAACCACCAGGGACGATCCCAATTCTGTTATAGCAGGCTAAACAAACTGAGACACCATTTCACCAGTGATGGCAGTTCTGCTAATGATACATGAGTCACAAACTGACATGCTTATATCAGTCTGAATTTGTAGCTATCCCACCTATGATAATTCCAATGATAAACTTAAGAATCTGTTTTCATTATATTCAATCATATAGGAAGGCCAGAGCACTTACATGGGCTTCCCTGGGGGCTCACATGGTAAAAAAATTCTGCCTGCAATGCAGGAGACCTGGTTTTGATCCCTGGGTCAGGAATAGCCCCTGGAGAAGGGAATGCTACCCACTCTAGTAGAGTCTCTCAAGATAGTAAAGGGAACAAAAAAAAAAATCTATTACACAAAGGAGGCATTGGAAATGACTAGGTAGAGAACTATTGTTTTAAAGTTTACAGTGAAAATAAAATCAGCACTTCTGGTTCACTTGCTTATTTATTCATTTACTTATGTATTTATTTTTGGTTGCTTTGGTTACTTGGAGGGTTTATATTTACATTAGAAAAAGCACCAATTCCCTGCTGACATTCTTCCTATCAACCACAATCTTATGGACTACCAATGCCTTCACTTTTATCTTCTTCTTATATTTCACTTTATCTTCCCTGCATGTTACTAGAAATAAAGCTCTTAACATTTCAGAAGGTCAGGTGGCTCCACAGGTCCCATCTGCTCCAGTAAGTCAACATAATCACAGGTCCCTTTGTTGCTTTCTTAGCTGTGTTCCTCTAAAAGCAGTAAAAATAATCTTAGTTTTCTCTTCTGGCAATTTCAACTTGAATGGTTGACCAAACATTAAGACCATGCCAAATCTGAATTCCTAACTCCATCAGATGTACTCTTTCTTGATGTACATGGGGTGTTCCTTTGATTATATATCTGGACATTTACTAGTCAAAACAGCTTGAAGCCTCCTAGTCTTTTTATATTTTCATCAACTTTTCTTTAACTAGTGAGAAGGAACCAAAAAAAAAAAAAAAAAACCAAAAACAACACCTGACTCCAATGTTACCATTTGTGATATACTAATTGGCACATGCAAGTTGATAATTAGTCATTTTCAGGATAAGCATCCCTTCATTTTTCCAGAAGAAATTTAAAAAGAGTGTTTCCAGATATAGTGCAATCTCTGTACCAGCTATATATATATTTCCTTCCTATCCTCACCTATTTGGCTTATTCCTCTCATTTTGGAGGACAAATGCCCAAAGGCATAGACCTCCAGAACGGAGACATGGGGATATCCTTTAACTCAACCCTTGAGAGAATTAAGGGGTTGGGTGAGGATGCCTACCCCAAATCCATGATTCACTGTTCTGCTGTTGACTTCCTAAAAAATCAACAACAACAGAAGCATAGAGGAGACCATCCGCTGTCTAAGAGCTAAGGAGGCCTTTGAGATCTCCCAGCAGTTCCTCATCTGCAAGCATATCTGTAAATAATGCCACTATCAACACTGGGTAGCATGTATCTTTTCAAATCACATTTTTTTGTCTTTCCCAGATAATGTACCCATGAGTGGAACTGCTAGATCAGACAGTAATTTTATTCTTAGTTTTTCTGAGGAACCTCCGCACTGTTTTCCATAGAGGCTGCACCAATTTACATAATCAACAGTATACTAGAGTTCTTTTTTCTCCACATCCTCACCAACATTTGCTATTTATAGACTTTTTGATGACAGCCACTTTGACAACTGTGAGATGATAGATCATCGTGGTTTTGATTTAGCAACACATTGCCCTGATGATCGGTGATGCTGAGCATCTGCATGCACTGGTTGGCCATCTGCAGGTCTCCTTTGGAAAAATGTCTATTCAGATCCTCTGCCCATTTTTAATTGAGCTGTTTGTGGATATTTTTTTTTGTTATTGATTTGTAGGGGTTCTTTAGATATTTTGACTATTAACCTCTTAACAGATGTATGATTTGCAAATACTTTCTCCCATTCTGTAGATTGTCTTTTCATTTTGTTGATGGTTTTCTTCGCTGTATACAAGCTATGAAGTTTAATTCAGTTCAGTCGCTCAGGCATTTCTGACTTTTTGCAACCCCATGGACTGCAGCACGCCAGGCCTCTCTGTCCATCACCAACTCCGGAGTCCACCCAAACTCATATCCATTGAGATGGTGATGCCATCTAACCGTCTCATCCTCTGTAGTCCCTTTCTCCTCCTTCCCTCAATCTTTCCCAGCATCAGGGTCTTTTCCAATGAGTCAGCTCTTCACATCAGGTGGCTGAAGTATTGGGAGTTTCAGCTTCAACATCAGTCCTTCCAATGAACACCCAGGACTGATCTCCTTTAGATGGACTGGTTGGATCTCCTTGCAGTCCAAGGGACTCTCAAGAGTCTTCTCTAACACCACAGTTCAAAAGCATCAATTCTTCAGTGCTATTTATTTTTTCTTTTATTACTTTTGCCTTAGAAGACAGACCCAAAACATATTGCTACAATTTATGTCAAAGAGTGTTCTGCCTACATTCTCTTCTAGGAGTGTTAAGGTTTCAGGTCTTACATTTAAGTCTTGAAACCATTTTAAATTAATTTTTGTATACAGTGTAAGAAAACGTTTTAATTTTATTCTTTTACATGCAACTGTCCAGTTTTTCCAGTATAACTTATTGGTGAGACTGTCTTTTCCCAATAATGAAAGGGTTTTAAATGATTTTACAACAATATGAACTTATTTGTGATTTACAAAGATAATTTAGGCAGTAATGCTGACAGTTATCTTTTACTCACAAATGAAGCTGGTAACCTACCCACTTCTCCTTAAAATTAAATAATCAAAGTCAAGACTTTACCACTACTGAACTATACAGTAATACAAAATTGTGCTTCACTTACGCAAAAGATTTTAATTGTATAGCAACTGTTATTAGGCACTGTTGTCACGAGATAAAAACTGTACTAGAGATAGAAACAGAGTCCCTTGTTCCCTTTAAAGATCTCTCATCAAGAAAGACAAAAATAAATCCATGTGATAGGCACCATAGAAAACAAACAAGAACAACAAGACAAATGCGATGGAACCTTAGTCTGGGTTTAAAAGGAGGTAAACCAGGGGCCAGAGGGGCAGGAATAAAGGTGCACTTGCGCAGCACCTTCTTGCATGTTAGTCAAGCACAAGGTATAGAAGTGATTGTCTTCTTTAGTGATTGTCTTCTAAAGAAAGCAAAAGGAGAAAAGATGGTAAAAAAACGATCAGCGCAGCAGCAGAAACTCACTATTTGGGGACAGACAGAGGAAGAATAATTGACAAATGAGATAAAACAATTCCAGCCCTAGGAAGAGAATCAAAGCAGCAATGAAAACAGAGTGAACGTGTTCCAAGTAAAAGGGAATGGTCATTAGCAATCAATGCTACAGTGAGAAGAAGCAAAGTAAAGCCAGAAGCAAATCCACTGGACTTGGCAGGCGGAGCGTTACTGGAGTCATTGGGCAAAACGCCTTCTATGAGAGGCCAGGCTGAGTCTGACTGTGGGGGAGACAGTGTGATCTGACGCCAAAGGACCAGTGTCATACTGGAAAGTAGTGTTTTAAAACAAATTACATTTTTAAAGAATAATGCACAATAAAAAGAATAAAGGAATAAAAACATCAAGGTGGAACAAGGAAAGACAAAGTATTTGATAATCCCATTTCATTCTAACACTGGTTATAAGACTCTTAATAATACACAGTGAGGTATTTTTAATGTTCAATTTTAATTTTTGTATTGGGCATGCAGGTGGCAAGATTTTACTTTTGGCAGTTTGACATCTATACTTGAAACGAGTCCCAAGACCTGAGCAGGTATCAACTAGACAGATGGTCAAGATACAAAGACATTCTGCATCTTTTTTTTTTTTTTTCCCTAGAGGTCTTTAAAACCAAATGGTGTCATAAGAATGTTAGGCTTATTATTCTTGGGGTGGTCAACGCATTCTAAAAGCTCTCTTTATTCTTCTGTACCTGAGATTAAAAAAAATGACAAAATATCTGATCCACTCCACTAAAGATAGATGAAAAAGAAAAAAACTAAAAAGGAACCTTCTGCTAGGCTTAAAACAAAATTAACTTTTAAAATAATAATCTTTTAAATCGGTATCCTTGTTAAATAAGCAGCATACAGGAATAAGGTGGAATAAGCTAGATGGTGGTGGTGACATTTAGAATATTGTTACAAATCACACTGCCTGTTCTTAAAAATGAGGCCTTATTTCCTGAGGCAGCAACATACACAACTAATGTTTTACACTATAAGCTTACAGTCAATAAAACAATCTAATTATTTTAATAATGAAATCATAGGAGGGCAATCTCAAGTAGCACGAACATATATCAATGCATGCACTGAAGTAGAAGGGGAGTCATAATAGGATGTGAAACTTTAGAAAAACATAAAATGTTGGTAATGATTTTTCACAAAAATATCATTTCTTCACACTCTAAGGAATTTAAAAATTCCTAGCATGAGAACCACTTACCAAGCTCTTCATTTTCTATGACTTCAAATGTGGCCCAGATATCATCTTTTGTAGGAATTATATTTTTTATTGCTAATATGTCATTAGTTAACTCTTCTGCTTCCATCACAGGAGATATCTGCAGGAGAAGCACAATTTCTTCAGAACATACGTCCAACACAGCAGTGGCCTTATGCTAGGGCGATGACGCCTGCCCACCATCTACCACCTAAAGATTCTACAAGTGTCCCCTTAGTACATTGAACTAGTTTCTCTAAGCACCCAGGGGAAACAGCATATTCAGATCTTCTCCATAATGTAATGCATTTTCATGTATGTGTAAAAAGTGCCCATATAACCGGGAAGACTCTTTTTTTAAAACTCAGTGAACAATTAAATAACTCAAAAAGGGAAGAATATACCGATTCCTACTCAGAAAGACCTCCCACAGATATTGGATCCTATGGCCTTGTAGGCAAAAATCTTTTCACTCAGTTCTATAACCAGGAGTTCAGAATGGCTGAGTTATTCAGTTTGGGCTCTAAATTATATATACACAGTTGACTGCTGTCTACCATGCCAAAAGCCTCAGGTTTAGTGGTGTGACCCGCCATGCCAAGTGACAGATGCTGGGACGCCAAAGTCTGCTTTCAGGCCAAGGGCAGAGTCTTCTGCGTCAGCCTGGGGGCCGGCTCTCTGAAAGTCTCAGAACCCCGGGCCACTGCGTAAGCACACCACCTTCTTCAGGGACTTTGGGGATTTTTCATTTGTTTTCTTCCTGTTTTCGTTTTTACCAGTCTTACAGGCATGCTGGCCACAAGCAAGTTGGCTTTCTCCAATTACAATTTAGTTACCATGCTAAACAAATAGAACACGATTTAAGCACTAGAACACTGCAGCTGCAGCCCCATTTCCACATTTTCAGTACAAGTATGCACCTATTAAAATTTTCTTAGAAAATGTGCTCATTTACATTTCTCCTGTCCTTTATTGATCATAAGCATACTGCACATATATAAATAACATAAAACATCTTTCATTAGAGGTAACTCATATAGTCTTTTGGAGTTTGTGGAATTTAGTGATACCTTTGGAATATATTAGGCTTCCCTGGTGGCTCAGATGGTAAAGAATCTGCCTGAAAAGCGAGAGACCTGGGTTCAATTCCTGGGTCAGGAAGATCCGCTGGAGAAGGGAAGGGCTACCCAGTCCAGTATTCTTGACTGGAGAGAGCCTAGTGGGCTGGGGTCGCAAAGAGTTGGGACATGACTAAGCAACTAACACTGACTTGGACTATATTAATGATGCAGTGAAGTCCATTATTTGCTGTTTAGAAAAGCTCAATGTAGTACAACCTTAAAAGAAAAAAAAATTAGCATATGGCAAAAGCAGAGAATTTTAAGTAGAAACCTTAGTAGATGAATGATTTCAGTGATGTCGCTCATCAGAATGGCTTTACAATTTTTTAAGATGTATAGCCCTTCCTTAAAAAAATAAATTACTGAGAGATCAAACTAGTGAAATAGTCAGCAGGGAGGTCCTCAGGGTGACATAGGAATGGAAAATTGGAACTCATTTCCTTGTTCCAGGTGATACCCAAGGCCCCTCTTCAGAACACCTAGAACTCTACAAAGCACACTTTGGAATTAATTACTCTACGTGATACACAAACCAATATAATGAACATCAGACTTGGAATATCATGACTAATGTTTGCATCCAGGCCTTAGTGTTATTCATTCCCATTTCTACCCATATGAACATGAGATATCATCTGCTTCACCTACCTCTTTGGGTTGAGGTAATGATTGGCTGAAATAAATATAAGAGCTGTGCAAAGTCTTAAGCACTAACCGGATGTTTATTTTTGTATAGTTCTTGCTATGTTTTTCAAGAGAATTTAGAGTTTTTGTAGGTGAAACTAGACACTCTTATGTGAGTATACTTAAAATAAGAATTTTGCTCAATTTTAATAACTTGTTATGGCTCTATTAGATAAAATTAAAATGAACTAGTGAAGAGTTTATGGGTAAGTGGAGTTAAGTCATGTGCTTTGACTATCCGTTTCAGCATAAGTAATAGACTTATGCCGAGATATCTCTACTACTTCCTCATGTGCCCTGTGATCAACATCACATGTTCAGCATAACAAACAGATGTGGCCATGGAGCGCAAGGCAGCTCATGTCAGTTCCACAGCTGAGTAACCAGTGTCAAAGAATCACATGTAATCATCTGTGCGTGTGCGCGCTGAGCCACTCAGTTTGTCCAGCCCTTTGCAACCCCATGGGCTATAACCGCCAGGCTCTTCTGTCCCTGGGATTGTCCAGGCAAGCATCCTGGAATGGACTGTCATTTCCTCCTCTAGGGGATCTTCCTGACCCAGGTATCGAACCTGTGTCTTCTGCACTGCAGGTGGATTCTTTACCACTGTGCCAACTGAGAATATCCCCGTATGTAATCATTAAACATATATAAAATATTACAGTATCTTTGACATAACTAAATTCCAGAAATATTTAATGTTAAGACTCTGTTTTATCTTGCACTTTAAAAAAGCCAAGAAGCTAAAGCTGAATTCCTACTGTTAGATGGCAGCATGTCTATCCTATGCACAAAGAAAGGAGTCTTACTCTCTTAAGGATGACTAAGTACAGACTATGGTAACATGAGAAAGATCTTTTAAATTCAAAACAAATAGTTAACTAACGTTACCAAGGAAGAGAAGAGTTATTTCATATTCCAGTACACTGAAATATTGGAAGCTAAAGTCTAGGATCGGCTTTCCCGGTGGCTCAGCAGTAAAGAATCCACCTGCCAATGCAGGAGATGCAGGTTCAATCTCTGGGTTGGGAAGATTCCCTGGAGAAGGGAATGGCTACCCACTCCAGTATTCTTGGCAGGAGAATCTCATGGACAAAGGAGGCTGGTGGGTATAGGCCATGGGGTTGCAAAGAGTCGGACACAACTTAGTGACAAAACAACAACTAAGTCTAGGATACAGGGGTGGGGTTTATACTAGTTGTTATTTATTAAGCACTTATGTACCATGTGGCCATGGTTTTTCCAGTAGTCATGTATGGATGTCAGAGTTGGACTATAAAGAAAGTTGAGCGCCAAAGAATTGATGCTTTTGTACTGTGGTGTTGGAGAAGACTCTTGAGAGTCCCTTGGACTGCAAGGAGATCCAACCAGTCCATCCTAAAGGAAATCAGTCCTGAATATTCGATGGAAGGGCTGATGCTGAAGCTGAAACTCCAGTACTTTGGCCACCTCATGCCAAGAACTGACTCATCTGAAAAGACCCTGATGCTGGGAAAGATTGAAGGTAGGAGAAGAAGGGGATGACAAAGGACAAGATGGTTGGATGGCATCAGTGACTCAATGGACATGAATCTGAGTGAACTCCAGGAGTTGTTGAGGGACAAGGAGGCCTCATGTGCTGCAGTCCATAGGGTCGCAAAGAGTTGGACACGACTTAGCGACTGAACTGAACTATGTACCATGATATCTGCTAAGTGTTTTACCGGCAGGATCTTACGAAGTCCTCAAATTAATGCTATTACATAAATACTGTAATTTTCCCTCATTAGAAAGGTAAGAAGATAGAGACTCAGATGGGAGTATATCGGTTGCCTCATGTCAGGAAGGTAGGGCGATGAGTAGCAGATGTTAGAGCTCAGGCTGTTCTATAGAACATCCTGCTGCTGCTGTTGCTGAGTCGCTTCAGTCGTGTCCGACTTTGTGTGACCCCACAGACGGCAGCCCACCAGGCTCCCCCATCCCTGGGACTCTCCAGGCAAGAACACTGGAGTGGGCTGCCATTTCCTTCTCCAATGCATGAAAGTGAAAAGTGAAAGTGAAGTCGCTCAGTCATGTCCGACTCTTAGCGACCCCGTGGACCACAGCCTACCAGGCTCCTCCATCCATAGGATTTTCCAGGCAAGAGTACTGGAGTGGGGTGCCATTGCCTTCTCCAATAGAACATCCTAACCACAACCAAAAGAACATAGGGTGGTCTCCAAATGACTAAAACATGGGATTCCCAGAGGATATTGGCAGGAACAGTCAAACTTGTCATGATTTGAATTGGACATATAAAATAAGATAGAAAAAAAACAATGGAAAATTCAAGATATGCAGACTAATGCTAACATTTATGATTTTCAACAGTATTCTTTGCATTCCATATTTGGGACTCACCCGAATTATAATACTGCAGTCAGGCTCCTTTCTTTCTACATATACTTCAATTAACAAATCTCCAGCCTGGGAAACCTAAAAAGGGCAGATGCAAAGACAGCAAATGTAAGTATGCTGCAAGAACACACACAATACGTAAGATGGTTCAAAAGTCCTAGTCATATTTCTAAAAATTTTATAATAATGAAATGGGATCAATCTCCTTGTTAACAACATAATAATACCTGTTTTCTGGATATAGTTAAGGATGTGGAATCTACACACATGTATAATCAGCAAACACAATCACATACCATTTTTCTGATCTTTTACTCAAAAGGATAGTGTCCTCATATACCCTTAACATTCTTATTGAAGTAATGCATCTGGCTACAGGAGAAACTGAGATGGGAAGGCCAAAAATTGAAATCTGAAGATAAATTAGGTCAGAGCTGTATTAAAACTACAAATAGAAAATGTATATTTAGCAACAAAAATTAAAAGTGAAGTGACAGAATATAAGAAGATAATAAAGTTTCTATTTTAATTACCTTTAGCCAAACATCAAGTGCTAAGTTATTTGGGTCACTATTATACCTAAGAAGACACACTACGTGAAGAAAACAGAAAGCAGGGAATACAAAGCATAAGATGTCACTATGTAGATTGACAGAATAATGTGAAGAAGATTAACAAAGAACCAAACAAATCTATGAAAAATATTCTGAGTTGCTTTTTTCAGAAATTCCCTTAAGTTATGTAATCACTTAGAAGCCACATCCATCACTCATTTTTAGAAAAAGATCATAATGGAGAAATGATCATTTCAAAGTTAAATTTGCCTCAGAATAAAACCTGCTGAGTAAATTTATGGGGCAAACATTAAAAATGTACTTTGAAGAGCTGTTCATAGTTATTCTGACACTACAGGCTTAGAAAAGCTTATTTCCGATTTTTCTTCCTTATGTTTAGAGCTACATAAAAATGCTACGGAAGAAAAGATACAGTTGACATTTTTACTTTTCCCTGTGTTTGTATAAACAACTCTCCGGGAAGGACACATTTTAAAAATTAAAAAAGCAAACACAAAGAATTCATAGAGTGTAGCCAAAAACAAGAATAGCTCAGAAAATCAAACAGGGATAAGACTTAGAGTCTGTCAGAAAACTACTTCAGAGAAGTTTTGAATGGACTGGAGAAAAACTCCAGCAAAACAACAGATTTTTTCCAAACTGTTCTACTTTTCTTCCAAATTGCTTTATTTTATAGACAATTCTTTTCTTATTTTAGCAATACTTACTTCTACTTAATTAGAAAGTATTCAAGGCTCATTTCTTTATTGTAGTATGAATACAAATGATAAAACTGCAAAATGGTACTCATACTTTATCCAATAACAATATAGACAGTGCTGCCAAAGATTACCCTTAGGCTCACACAATCCTTTGTTTCATATCTGAAACTCTCTCCAAAAAGCAAGAATCCAAGAGAACCAACTGCTAATGAGCCACATCTTTTTACTGTTACTGCTAAGTCCTCTGGAGGCTGCATTAATTACTTTGGTTCAAAATGGAGGAAACACTTTTTTATGCAATTAATCTCACAGTAGTGGGCTTCCTGGTGGCTTCCTCCTGCAGTTGTGGGAGACCTGGGTTCGATCCCTGGGTCGGGAAGAATCCCTGGAGGAGGGAATGACTACCCACTTCAGTATTCTTGCCTGGAGAATTCCATGGCCAGTGGAGCCTGGCAGGCTACATACAGTCCATGGGTTCACAAAGAGTCAGACATGACTGAGTGACGAACACTTTCACTAGGTGAAAGTACTAGGGGATCCACGCATTTGAATGAACCTTTCCTCATCTCCCTCATATGGAATGACAGCTCTGACAATTTCTCTGAATTAGTTGTGTGTATTTCAGGAATGAAGTGAACTTGGGGGTTGACTAATAAGAAAGCATTCACCTCATACTCTGAGTGTACCTACAGAGAGAATTTCTTTGACCCATTTGTCTAATCTACATTGGTACCCTGACTCCACTATAATTGCTAGTTATTAGAAGACAGAGCCAGCTTCAAAAAAGTCCAGTGAATATTCATCAAACAAGGACAGGTACCCTGGAAAAGCGTAGTGCAACCTGAACACACAGATCCAATATGATGCAACCAAGGAAAGTAAGGAAGATCTAGAAAAGTCAACTTAAGACATAAATTAACATGTTAGGAAGTACAGAAGCAGTCCCACTAGTGCAATCATCCAAGAGCATGCAGAGCAAAAGCATGTAAGAAATAACTTACAATTTCAAAAGATAACAGAAAGAATCATTAGGGAGCCTGAATTTTCTGTTTATTTTAGTATTTGACTTTAAATGCTTCCTTTGAAATCCACTAGTATTTTCAATAGTGCTTCATAAATGAAAACTGATTTCAAAAAGGACATTGTGATAAGATTAGAACTGACTTTTCCATCTATGTTTTGAAAACATTACATTAGCATACTTTGGCATTTTGTATGTGTCATGCTACAGAATTTCACAACTGTTTTATCTAGGTTTTTTCCCCCCATTAGTTTTACTTTGCTTCAAATAGGAGTTTGAAAATAAACACAACAAATGTTTACTTACAATGAAAGTTTTTGTTTTGTTTTGTTGTTTTTTTTTTTTTTTAATTTTTTAAAATTGGAGATCTAACTATTACTACTCACTTGAGTGTCTTTCCACTTGGTAATAAAGCTATTCTCTATGTCCATTTGTTTGACTTGGTCTTCTTTAACCTGTTTAAAATATAATTTGGGACATTCTAATAAAATACAAGGAGTGGTGGTACTCATCCTCACATAACTTTCTTCAGGAATTTAAAGACTGACATGTTCAAAATAAATGAGAATGGCCACCTTCATCAGCGGGGGCCCACACAGCTAGGGAAGATATAAAGCCAACAACTTAGAGGCTCATAAAGTTCAGAATATCTTATGATGATAGCACTTTAGGCTACACATTCCATCAGTGGCATCCCCTATGCTGAGGTGCATTAATAAGCAAAGTGGCTGATGAAGGATTCAGCAGAATTTATGTACATTGAGAGTAAAGACTTCTTTTATCAGAAATGTTCACTAAGGGCTTATGAAGTTTCCACCATTTGGTTAAAGCTGGACTTAACTATGTAGATAAACATTTTTCTACTATAACAGTACAAAAAACAGAAAATCAAGAGAGCATGCAAAGCCACATATTTATTTTTTCAAAGTCTTTCATTTCTCAGCATCAGAACTATTGTGAAGACGCTATTGATCAAAAACAGTGGACACATAAAGGAAGAGATAAAAGGAGCTCAAGGAACAAAAGAGAATTCAACAACTGTTCATTCCTACATAAATTAAGATATGAACTTTGTTATTTTATTTAAAATACTTTCTTTTCCTTTTTAAAGCAATCTTGTGATGAGTTATTATAAGAATGTATGAACTACAAAAGTTAACCTATTACATTAACCTATTTGATCATCTGGTAAAGACACAATTCTGGAAAACATGGGATCTTGTACAAGACTATTGAAAAGAATGCCCAGAAAGGTTTAATAACAATATTGAGATGATAGAATTAGTCAAGCAGTGGAAATGGACCTTTGACCCAGGTCCCCTATATCCACCCCACCATATTCAAATCCTAGGCTTATTTCCTCTGTTTTTACTCCTTTGAAATAAAAAATTATCCCTATTCCAAGAGTTTTCTGATGAAACATGAAAATATGAACTTCACAAAATAGCAAATTGAAAAATCAGATAATTAGAAGAGATGACTTAATAAAAACCACAGAATATTACTTCAGAATTTTTTCCAATTCATGCACAACTAAATGAAAACTCTAAAATGCTTTCAACTGCAAAATTTATCAGTCTGATGTAATTTACTGAATTTTTGAATTTCATAATTTCACACCTCTAAATAGACACACTCAATGCATACACATACTGAGAAAAAAAAATAAAAACACTATAAATAGAAATATTCTGTGCAACAGACACCAGATGGTAAGAAAGCTTTAGAAGCAGCCAAATTTAAATGAATGGCTATAGCTTAAAATGTTAGTTATATCTGAAAAGTGAAGGATCATGTACCTATCCTTTATTTTTAAAAATTCCTAAAGACGTGAATAAAGACATCCTAAAATACATATTTTTGTTTACAAACAATAACATCAAAACTACTTTAACAAGGGCAGGATATAAAATATTTACCTCAAAAATTTCAACATAATTATTAATTAAGTCCTCGATTACATTCACTTCTTCACTAGTTTGTCCCTTAGTTTGAAACAAACAGGAGGAAAAAACCAAGGCCAAATTGTGGGCACTCATGTGATTGATCTCTGAGCATTTCTGAACCCTGTTAGAAAAAAGCAGTGGTTGTTACAACATTTCTATGTGAACATTTCATAAAACTTATGGCTTCATGTTCATTTATCCTCTTTTATTTTTTAAACACAAACATATTGAAAATTACTGATACTAAAGGTGGAGTAGTGATTTAAAGAAAAATACACAGTTCTTTCTTCCAAGTATCCTTCAAGTTTAAGAACATTAGAAAAGACGACTGTCAAAGATATTACTACAAGTTACAAAGCAGTACTTGATCATCACTTTAGAAGAAGGACCCCTCTCCCCAATATCCAGACAGTTCTACAGATGGGACAATCTGTACCTAAGGCACAAAGGTGTGCTTGCAGAAAGGTGTCAAATGACTTGCAGGATGGAGGCATAAATAAAAGAGGGATGGGGGCAGTAGGTAAGCAGGAAATAAGGCAAGAATGGCAAATTGGGAGGCATAAAGAGTTCCAAATTCAAGGTTCAGGGCAACTGTTGAATTTCCCAGCACATCCTTATCAGGTGAGAAAATGCCTGGTTGAAAGTGTTTGAAAGGTTATTCAAAATAAGACACCTCTCAGAAAGCAATCACTTTTTACAATGAACAGACATGAAAAGAGTCAATTCTCCCAATCTATAACACCAGTTTTACAAAGAACTTTCAAGTATTCACAAATGTTTAAGTTCAAAGTAATTAAGAAAAAAACCATAACCATCACCCCAATAAAAGGAAATTTACAATGATAAAAATGCAGAACTCTACCTGATGCCCATGGAAATATCAGTTAATTCTATCACTGACTGTAGACATAACAGCTGCTTAATTGACTGTCTAATTACATTTGTGAATTTCTAAAACACATGCTAAAAAGGGAAATCAACTCTATCTAAGGAATAAAGCAAGACTAGGTAGGTACACCTGACTATAAAGGGCAAAGATTCTAGTAGGTACAAGAAAAATAAGGAAATATGACAGCAATATATATGATAGTGTAAGAAACTCACAATGAAATACTAAATTGCATAGGGGAGACAGAGCAAGTTTGATCAACATGTATGATTTATAAGATGCAAAAGGCATTGCAAGTTAATAGAGGAGGGTGTCATAATTATGGGCATCCCTCTCAAAACCACTCTGTACTTTTTTTTAATCACACTAGACTGTAAATATTTTGAAATTTTATCTTCAAGTCTGCCTCTGTTACTATTAGAATCTAAGCATCTCACAGTCAGAGACTTTGTGTTAATCATACTGTGGTGGTGGCAGTCTAGTCATAAGTTGTGTCCAACGCTTTGTGACCCCATGGACTGTAGCCTGCCAGACTCCTCTGTCATGGGTTTTCCTAGGTGGGGATGCCGGAGTGGGTTGAGGAGAGGGTTGCCATTTCCTTCTCCAGGGAAATCGACTTGGGGATCGAACATGCCTCTCCTGCTTGGCAGATGGACTCTTTACCACTGAGTCACTAGGAAAGACCCTAATCACACTGGAGTGCGGAACATAAATATATACAGTGAAGGGAATTAAGTCAATACTAGTCATGGAGGAAGTGATCTGTTATCTAGGGCACCGAGAGAAGCGAATGCTAAATCAATCTGACTTTATCCACACTGACCTCTCAAACTTTGATGACACTGTCAAATATCCTCATCTCTCCTGAGCATTCCCCTCTAGCACTTATCACCTCTTTGGTTTCTGTAACTGCCTGAATTACTGGCATAAATATGTCCACGATGTATTTTCCTTTTCTTCCTTTATTTCCCTGCTCCCACACTAGTATCTGCAAGTGTCCCATATTCAGCCGGGTTACTCTCCTCCCACTCAGCTTTTCTCATTAGAAGTCCACAGAAATTGTGTCTTAAGTAGGTTTCTCTGTCTCTGTTCTAACCTCTTCCCAATCAATTCCAGGACATGGGTTATTATCCTAAAACAGATTGGATCAGTCACTCCTTATTACGCAAAGGAATGAAATCCAAATGTTTTTGCACAATGAATAGAGCCTTTCACAGCCTGATGCCAGCCAGCTACAAACCATCTCATCTTCTAGCACACATGTTTCCTGAAAATATCCCTCACTCATGTCTGGTACTTAATTTTCTGTCATGCCCAGTTCATTTATCCTTTTAGATCTGAAACATCACCTGGATCTCAACACACAATGATGTATCACTCGATCCTTCCTCTTTAATTTCATGTTGTATGCTAAAATTCTTTTAAAATCTGTGCTGACAGTGTTGTGTTTTCCTAAAATGTATAAAATGCCCTGCAGCATCCCTGTAAGTCCTCATCCCCGCTGTGATGTCTCAGGGTTCCTTGGTGCTATTTGGAAACTGCAGTCTTAAGACTATTTTTGTTATTCATGTACTATTAGCAATCATTTCTGTTCACATGGTCTCTTAATGGGCATTGTATATAGTAGGAGCGAAAATAAATATTAAACAAAGGATAGGAAGTAGCTCATTATCTGAAATTCAAGTATGAATTAAGAAGTTTAAGAATTATATGCAACTCAATGTTTAAAATATTAACTGATAATTGTAGCAGCAGGTCACATATTGAAATTTGTGAAGAAGAAAAAAATCTGTCCCAGTGTCTCTTAGGCATAGAGATAGGACCGTACAGTATATCGACTATATTTGTGTGACACAATAGGAAAATCAGATGCATAGTAATGGAGTTTACATGCATGAGAAGTAGTGATTGGAAAAGAAAGATAAAGACAAAAGACAAATTGTGGAGATTTAGGAATCTAAACTTCAACTAAGGTATTTTCAGTAGAATTCAGCTTCACAGAAATTTATTCAAGGGAACATTGCATCCATGCAGGAAGCTGCCAACAATATATTCCTCAAGCAATATTTACACTGATTTAAGTTTTTGTAATAATTCTTGCTCATAGCAAAATAAACAAACCTAAGTTTGTTGACTTAAAATATTATTCCCAAACACCCTGATTTTTCAGATGTCATTTCTCAAGCTACCATTTTATTCCTCCTAGCCTCCCAAATGCAGGGGACTACATGCCCTGACATAGAAAATGGTTTTGGCTTTTGAAATTTCCCTTATCTAATCAATAGTCTGACATCAAAATGTTTTAAAATTCTTGTTTTAAGTACTGGATGTATCTGAGAAGGTGATATATGATTATTTCTAATCCATTTAAGAAATTCTCCAGGGCTATTTATTTGAAATGTTTATTAATTGCGTTAAGAGACACTAAACTGACAGTTTATGGGAATTCCATTTTGAAACCATTCTTAAGATATGATGGAAGATTTACATTCACAAATAGAAGAAGGTTAACCACAGTACTTTAAATTTAAAAAAAAAATGACTTACTGAGTGCCATATCTGAAATATCTAGAAAAGTTTATGAACCTACCCACCTGTAAAGGTGTTCAATTATAGCTGCCAAGGTTGCCCGGTTCACCCCAGGAAGAGTACGAATAAATGCTCCATACTTTTTAATTCTCTCCTTGTCATCTTGGGTATCTAGAGGTTAAACACACACACGTGAAACTTTAGGTCTAACTAATCATCTACATTACCAATTTGCCTTTTATCAGTATTTTAAAACAATATTCACAACTGTATTTCACTGACACAATCAAGTTTCAAAACAGAAAACACTCAAACTTCTCTAATCCTGGAAAAATATTTTATATTTACATAAACATTCCACGGCTATATGTCATAGCTCTTATATTTTGTAATTAAAAATAAAGTACTTTTAAAACCCAAGTCTGTATTTTATCTTCAATGCTACATTCTACTGAACTTCAACTAAAAGGACTATTTTCAAGTAGTAACAAATTAGCCTACAAATTGAAGAGATGAGCCAAAAGTATTTTAACTATAGCTATGGAAACATCTCACTATTTGTTATTAGAAAATGACATGTCTGACCATTTTTCCTTGTTAGTATCATAAAAATCTTCCCTATACTCTGACCCATCCCAGAACTATGAACTGTACATTAACCCCACAGATCCATGCAAAGGGCCTTTGGCCAGCCCTGGAAATTTCAGTTCTTTGGAGAAGGTTGGGGGGCAGTGGAATAAGTCATGTGTGGGCCCCGGTGACAGTGATACAGACTGAGAGGAGGACGGATGGATCCTCTGCTTTTGTCATGGTTAGAACTTGGCATGAAGAGGAGGACAAGAAGGAACTACTCTCCTCCCCTCTCCGAACCCTAAGAAGTCAAACGCTTAAAGGCAACTGCACAGGAACCCCAACCTTCTAGAGTCCAGAGGTTGTGCAGTGTGGTCTGGTCTAACCTATTCTTTCACAGGGGAAATAAGAGACCTTCCTTTAAATAAATAGCTTGTGCTGACTCTGTAACTCAAGCGGACTGCACTTACATATTCCCTCTCAATTCCCAGCTACCTTTGGAAACAAGGCTTTTTCATTTTCTGCTTAACCCTACACATTCTATTCACAGAAAGCCAGAGGCACATTAGTGATTCTTTCAAAGTACACAGTCACTTGTAAAGGGCATTCTGGTCCCTGGGGAGGTAAGAAATTCTGTGACACATTTTTGAAGTACACTCCTATTTAAAACAGGAACTCACAGCTCCTTTGTACTGATTTCACCTGCACACTAGATCTATAAAAGTAAACATGGTTATATTGACTCAACCATGCTGATGGATGACTGTCTAAAAGCAAGAGGGGAAGACACCCCAGTAACATTCAAAGACTATACTAGAAGTGAATTAAGAATCAGCTGTCATTCTTGGTATAATCCAAATGTTTCCCCTCATGTCTTCCAGTTTCTAACTGAGGTAATTGTATTTATTCAATTAAATGTAATTAATACTACACTACTATGCTTATAACAAGCACATGCTAGTATAGCCTATTTTCACAAATCTTATAAGAATAAAATAGATGATATTTTCAAAATGAAGTTTGAGTAACTGGAAAGGAAACTGAAGATAGATTTTAGGTCATATAGAAAATACAACTATTCAACCAGTCACAGCCTTCAGACAATTGAATAGCATCCTTAGAAGAAGTCGTGTATATCATATAAACAGGTACTAGGCAACTGTAGGACGTTCTTCGCCTTGGGCGCACAGGACCCATGAGAGCTCTCCAATGAGGTCATCCAGTAAGTTCTGGTTGACTTTTGTCAGATCCAATAACGGGTACTTTCTGACAGGTCAGGGTGAGCTACAACGGATCTGAAAGCAAAGAACTTTCAACACTAGGAGTCGAAGCCTTCTCAAAGTAATTTCTCAGGGATTCACATCCAAATGGAAGGTGAACACACTCCTCTCTGACACATGCTGTTTCTCAACTACCTTCTCCTGTAGTTTAACAATGAAGACCTCTCTGCCATTAAGTTTGACAACTTCAGCAAAAGCATATTTGTCATAGATTTTTGATGACTGATTTTACAACAAAGGCAAATTGTAAATCTTTATAAAATAGAGGTACTATAAATAATTTCATGGTTATGAAATACAATAAAATCTTAAAACAAAAGTGAGGGTGGCAGGGCAATTGTGCTTAAAAAGATGTTACCTAATTCTATATTCCATAAAATTATACAATCAACTCTCAATGTGATTAGAATTAAAACTATTGATTTGAAAAACATAGGAAACAAGGGAAAGACTTCTGAATTAAGCAGTTATATTGTGAAGAGTTTTATTTTAATAACAATACTACTCTCTTCTTGCTGAGACAAAAAGGGTCAATCTTGGGATTATTTTTCAACTACAGATGTTTTGTGGCATTTCAAAATTAATCCCTTCAAATTTCATATTTATGTTTTAAACAAATACTTTCAATGGAAGAAACTATTTCTCAACAGAAAAACATCATATAGTCAATAATGTGAAAAATGAAAATAGCTCTATTAGAAATCTGGGATTAAAGGCAAAATTTATATTTTAAAATATGTTTTATCATGTTTCTAAAAAAGGAGTTACTTTGAATTAATGGAGGTAAATATAGGTTTTACTGAAATCAATTTGACCCATTATCTGATTTAATAGGGCTTCCCAGGTGGTGCTAGTGGTAAAGAACCAACCTGCCAATGCAAGAGACATAATAGATACGGGTTTGATCCCTGGGTTGGGAAGATCTCCTGGAGGAGGGCCTGGCAACCCACTCCAGTATTCTTGCCTGGAGAAATCCCCATGGACAGAGGAGCCTGGTGGGCTACAGTCCATACGGTCACAAAAAGTCTGACACAACTGAAGTGATTTAACACACATGCAGCTGATTTAATAAACTGGTTTTCTAAGATTATTTCTTAAATAAGTTCTCTTAGAGTGTAGCAAAGATATTTTACTTCATTAGACAGAATCTGAAAAAAAATGAAGAGTAAAAAGATCTTTTGTCATGTAACTCTAAAGAGGCAGAATGAATGAAAAAAGAAAGCCAAAAAGCTATATGTTAAAACCATGTAAAACCGATGTTGTAATAAACATTTCATTTTAATCTTAATGAGAAATTAATAGCCTACATGGACTTAACTATTAACACTTCCAAAGTTAAGGCAAAGTAAGCACTAAGAAGTCTACCAAAAACTAAATATTATCATAAAAGACTTTAGCAACTACCACCATAAATTTCTTTTGAGGCACATATAACAGCTAATTTACAATTCCTGTTCTAAGCCATTTGTACACTGTTCCTTTCAATTAAATGTTCAGATTATCAGAGGTGATTTTAAAAATCTATTATCAAATGAGAAGGCAAGCCTTTATTTTGTAATTTATGTATTACCTAAGGCAGAGATCCAATATGGGTAGAGTTCCTTAGTGAGAAGTGCATCATCAATGTCAGAGAGAAAACTCTTCAATACGCCTGTCACATCTTCAAGTTGATGTTTTCCAGCCCTCAATTTAAAGCTTCTTGCATCCTTTTTGAAACTCTCCAGGAGTTCACTTACATGTAATGGATCACCATTCTTTTGATAGATATTTTTGTATCCTAAACCTTTGTTAAAAAAAAAAAAGAAAAAGATTATATGAAAAATGTCTCAGGTCAAAATTGATTTTACTATCTCAAAAAAAGAACTAATTTCTGTGTTCGGATGATGCACAAGACAAAATCATCACCTAAGAGTTTATATAAACATGCATGAGAATAAAAAGCTCCCCACCTTGCAAATTTTATAATGTAAAATGCAAACCTGATGAACAAACTATTCCATCCCCAATTTTTAGTAGGCCCTAGGCCAGTCCTCCCTCCAGTTCTTCATAGCATCTTTCTCAAATGTTCTTGTACTGGAAGTGCCCTTTGCTTAGTCTCTCAGAGTACAGATTTGCCTTCAGTTTCACTGACAAAAGTAGGACTCTCTGGTGTAAATTTCCTTAAGTCTCTACATTCATATGTGCATATTTAATTCTGTCTGTTCCACACCTTCTAGATGGAAGAGTTGGGTCCTAACTTTTCAGAATTACATACTGATCAAGTTTCCCACATAAAATAAGAATAGCAGCAGTTAACTGGAGGAAGAGGAGTGGTGGGGATGATGATGATGATGAGCAAACATTTTTAAATCCTTTTTTGCCCCCTCCCTTCAGGCCTCTTGTTTTTCTTTCTTCCAAAACTAATCTGAGTTTTCTATATTTATTCTTTCTACCACCTTGCATCCCTGTTGATCCTTTAACCACTTACTCTTGCTTCGGGCCCAACTCCCACTCTGTTGGGACCGTCTTCCTCAAGAATACGCTTTCTAGATGCTTTTCACTTTTTATATAATAGGATCCCCTTGCAGTGTCTAATACTCCAGTGAATCCTGGATAAAATTCTGCTAATCTCAAGGCTTTCATGACGTTATGATCTCATCTCTTTTGACCCCTTTCTCTATGACTCCCCTTCTAGTCTTCTATTTATTCTGCTATCCAGTCTTTACTGATGATTCCAGGAAACCATCCTCAACTCTCTTCTCTGATCCCCTACAAAATTTTCTAGATGAACCCATCTGTTTTCATCACTTCAACTAAGACATGTATATTTCTACTCAGCTTTTAATTTTGAAAATTTCAAATGCACATGTGCATTATATATCTAAATCTATATATAAATACAGGGCTTCCCAAATACAAGCCACACAGACTATACTTATACATATGAACAAATTAATTTTCCTACCCCATTCAGTACTTCACCTCCCAATCCCAACATGCCTTTTATCTTGTTCCTATACCTCAATATGTGGCACTGCCTTCTCCCCAGTTATTTATGAGCCAGAACTTCTCTTTCTCACATATCACATCAAAAGAATCAATAAAAATTTCAAAAAAACTGTCACATATATTTTTCATCATGACTTCTCTCACAAAACTGTCCCCTTGCTCCATCACCTGCACTATTGTAATTTTAGGCACCCACTTCCTCCGTATGTTATTGCACCTCTGTCCCTGTTTCCACCGAGCCCTCCAGTCGGTCTTGAAAATGATAATAGAATGATCTGAGATACAAGTCTGCTGGTGTTGCCAAAATGCTTAAAAATATGGATATAGCCCCCTACCACTGACTAGAGGGCAAGTTTTTGGGAAGATTGAAGGTGTGAGGAGAAGGAGACCACAGAGGATGAGATGGTTGGATGGCACCTCCAACTCAATGGACATGAGTTTGAGCAAGCTCCGGGAGATGGGGAGGGACAGGCAAGCCTGGCGTGCTGCAGTCCGTGGGGTCACAAAGAGCTGGACATGACTGGGCAGCTGAACAACAGAGGCCAAGGCTTTTATTATGATACATAGCCCTGGGCTTCCCAGGTGGTGTTAGTGGTAAAGAACCCACCTGCCAATGCAGGAGACATAAGAGATGTGGGTTCGATCTCTGGATTGGGATGATCCCCTGGAGGCGGGCATAGCAACCCACTCCACTATCCTTGCCTGGAGAACCCCATGGACTGAGGAGCCTGGTGGGCTATTGTCCATAGGGTCGCAAAGAGTTGGAAACAACTGAAATGACTTAGCATGCACGCATACATATAAGACCCTATACGAATGCCCTAACTAGTCCTCCAGCTTCTTTTATTTTCCGCTCTTCTCACACTGAGTTCTGACCACATTTAGCTACCCAAAGTTCCCTGACTAGACAACTTCCTTCATGACTCCACACCTGGCACACAGAGTTTCCTCTGCCTGGACTCCCTACTCCCTCCTCCCAACGAGCTCCCATTCGCTCTTAAAACACATGGCAGGTTCCACGCGTCACCCACGAAACCCTCCGTAACCACTGCTACACTGAGTGAATTTCACCTCTAAGCCATGGACACCTGGACCAACCCCTGAACCTCTCTGCCACGGAATTTTATCCAATTGAGATGCAAATGCCCACTTATTTTGATCCACAATCTATAAGCTCCTAGAAGGCAAAGATCATGTCTTATTTTCTGTATACAGTAGTTACACAGTACCTCAAAGAACTCAGTGGATACTCAGTAAATGACCACAATAGAATAAGCAAGTTCTACCAAAAAGTTAAGTTTCTGAGATATCATGTTCCTAGTTGAGTGAATTTTTAACAACTGGTAAAAGGTAACTAAATGTGAATCTGAACACAATTTTGTTTACAAAAATTAAATATATCCCCCCAAGAACTAACTGCTATAACTCATTAAAAAGATTAATACTCTAAGAATTACACTGTGAATTTTGTCAGGTTCAGATTTTGACACCATGAGCACAAAAATTAGGCTTTTAGATTTTATACCAAAGATTAGGAAATTCAAAATAATTATGATCATATAGGCCCTGAGTCAATCACCTGCATCCTAGAATCACTGGGCATTTTCTAAGTTCATATCAAATCTTCCCTTCTACCCATACTGGTAATATTGAGGTTTTCACATGTTTTGCTCATTAAAAAAACAAAAAGCTGGAAAAAACATTAAGAGTCTTTTATTGGCTTTATTACTTTAATATGGAAGCTAATGTACCTTATGCTAGAGCTACAAGGTAATTATAATATATGAAATTTAGTTGAAAACAATCTAATGCTTAATGATTTTAAATGCAAATAAACACCACAAAGAAACTTCTGATTTCCCTAGAGAAACATTAAATTGGATACACTGGGAGCTAGTCAAGCTATTTTAATCATTTGTCAGCTTAAGAAAGACCTTATACCATTATGAAACTAACAAGATGTGAAAATTCCCAATGAGGTTATGATCTTGCTAAAACATAAGATGTGTGCAATTTATTTATACCTGCACAATGCAAGTGTACCAATACTGAATTACTAATAAATGAAAATGATAACTTTCCTCCCCCATTTTCAAACAAACAGATGATGACAGTTGATAAGAAAAATATAATCAGACTATCAAGGAACTTCACAGAATACTCCCACATAATGTGATTATATAACATATTTGTAATGTGTATAATTCAAACACAAATTAATATTCAAACCTGAATATTAATCATAATTTTACTTGGATAACTTTACTTGGATAATGAAATGAGTGAAATACTTAAAATGGCACTCTCCCTAGGAGAAAACAGATTAATATACACATATTCCAGACTTAAATTTCCCTTATTTTTTTTCATAGCATTTGTTATTTCTGGCATTGTGTTCATATCAGTTCACTGTTAGTTCTCATACTGGAAGTCAAAATTTATGGTTCTTTCACTCTTTACTACCACTGCTCAATTTCCAGTGCTAAGTTCAGCGGCTGGCACACAATAGACAATAAATAAGTAAAAAAAGAAACTCATAAAACAGTGTTTTTCAACAGCTCTCTCACTGATTACACTTTCTTTTCAAATTAAAAATACCCAAAGATTATTTAAGACTAGGAGAACAATGAAAAGCTAACACAGCTTCCAAAATATAAGATAAACCATTGTACTTTTTTTCTGCATGTACAATCTAAATCAGTGCCTTTTATAGACAGATTGAGATAACATATTTTTATATTAAAAATACAGTTAAGCAATTTATTTATCTTTCAGCGTATTAAGGGAACATGTAATAGAAGAAATTTTAAGAATGAGTAGTAATTTGAAAATAAGTAAAAATAATAAAGATATACCTCATTTACTTTTTGGCATGTGTAAAATACTACCACAGCATGTTAAATTAAAATGAAGCCTGATTCAAATTGGTTTTAACCTGCAAACTATTCATAAAAATGTCACAATTAAGTCAAACCAGCAGAATTAATGACCACATTTCTTACTATAAACATGTGACCAAATACATGTTAAAGGGAATAAATACACAGACACTTTGCATGCAGGCCTACAAAAAAGTAAAGTCTTTTACGTACTGTTCCATCATTTACCATTTTTAAAACAGTCACCACTACATTCCCCAAGACTTTACTGTAAAGTTAGAACCTCTGAAAAGTACAACCTTTAATCATTTTTTAAATATACATTTTACAATATAGATTCTTCTAATATGTCATTTTAAAATTTTATGCATTTAAAGGAAGAAGGAATTTGTAAGGCATGTGATATAATTTAAATGAACTTCACTGTGAGAAGGAATGGCATTTAGGCTGAAGAGGGACTACACTTTTAATTTTCACTGATGTTCTTAAAATACAAAGGGCTCTCCTTCAGTCCAATGGAGGTACAATTTCAAAAGTGTAAGAATGCTACTATGAGTTCTTGGGGTTGAATAAAAACTCTGATACTTACCATACTGTGTAACAAATGCTATACAGCTGTTCACGATAATGGGAACGTCATTTTTGCTGAGCTGCTGGTCTTGTAATGCATTCCCATCTGTACCTGCTGCTTTTTCAATTGCAGTATGCCAGACTGTGAAATCCAACTTGGTATGCCCATGGATGTATAATGTTCTGTAAAGTTAGAAAAGTATTTCAAATGATAATTTTGTTTTTTTTAAAGCCTTACTTCTACAGAGAATATCCTTAAATCCATATAAATGTGATCTGATCTCATCCATCAGAAGAAAATCCCTCTGTCTGCCATCAGCTTCCACTCACTTGATCCCTCTTTTGCTTTGAAGTCACACGTCTCTCTCCATAGAGCCCAGAAAATTCCCTGAACTTGTGGTCTTAATGTCCTCACCTCTTTTTCATTCCCTCTTTCATTCTGTTTCTGAATAACTGAACTGAAACCCTTCTGGCCAGCATCACTTGTAACTTCTCATGGATATTTGGGGGTTTATTTTTTAAGATTTTAGAACTGTTTGATAGGACTGTTCTACGTTTTAAAAGTTAAAAAAAGAGAGAGGGAGGGAAAACAACCACCCAATTCAGCTTTGGTAGACTGTTCTTCCTGACTTTTCCTATCTTTCTGGTCCCTCAGTTCTTTCCCAAACTTACTTTCTTTTTTAAAAATGAACTTGTAACTTCAGTGCACTCACATGAACTCCAAAGACTCTCCAAGAGACATGTCATTCAGGCCAGTGATTTCATCTCCCATAAATATAAGCTAGTATGTCTCACATCCCTATCTCTGGTTGAGAACTGTCTCACAAATCAGATCTCCACATGATTGAAAAGCAAGAGCATAAAGAAGTTAACAGAATGGAAATCAATTCCTGAACTCAAGTTCTAGCTCTGCACTCACTTCCTTTATGAACTTGGACAAGTTATCAATCTTCTTTGGTTGTCAGTTTCATCAAAGGCAAAAATGAGGATAAAGATAGCACCCACTTCAGCACTCAATAAATGTGGTATTAGTAATGAATAAACCATAATACTAATTAATGTAAATTCCACAAGCATCTCAAATCTTTATCCCTTCTCATACCAAACTGGTACTACATTCTCCACTTATCCCACCAGGAATTTAGGATTCATTACTGTAGACTGATCCCCCCGATCCCCACCCCACCCCTGGCATGTGAACTCAGTCACAGAATTCTGTCACGTCCAGTTCCCTGACATACTTGCTTTGCCTCCTCTTTATTTGAACACTGCCCTCCTTCGGGGCTTTCTATTGCTCCTTAAAGTCACTTAAGTCCCTCCAAACAAAATTCCTTTCCCAGTTCTCCACCTTCTCCTCAAGACTGCCAGAATGATCTTTTTAAAATACAAAGCTAATGACATCACTTCCTGATAACTGATAACATGGCAGTTCTGGAGGTTTCAAGATTAAAAGGTCTTCAAGATCTGTCCTGTATTTTCCATTCCAACTGTGCCATTCCCAGGAGGAAGGGAGAAAGGAAGGGAAGAAGAAAGAAATTCACATGTTCTTCTCTTTGCAATAAGTATTTCCTGCTCTCCGACTGCTTAGTCCAGCTCCTCCCCCACTGGTATATTCTAGGTAACCCTTTGTGACCCTCCATTCCTGTCTGCCTCCATCCAAAGTTTCTGGGGTAACAGGCATTCTTCTTTAATGCTAAACACCCACGCCACCCTCCATCACATCAACTGTGTGTCTGTGTGAATTTTTTAGCCACCTCACCACTAACTTCATACAAGCAAAGAAAGAAAGCATTTCAGTTATCAATAGCCTTTAGCATAATGCCAGATATTTAGTGGATGCATTGTTTTAAAGTTCTATCACTAGATAAAAACTTTGATTTGAAACACAAATTAATCATTGATGCATTGAAGTATAATTATACTGAAGTAAGAGGAAATGGCAACCCACTCCAGTATTCTTGCCGAGAGAATCCCACGGACAGAGGAGCCTGGCAGGCTGCTGACCACAGGGCTGCACACGACTGAAACGACTTAGCATGCGTGCATACCAGCGTACAACTATTTAATTTTGATTTCAGACTACAAAATAGCTACTTTGGATTCAACCTGAAGAGAAAGGAATGAACTGCATGGACAATTGGTCGTTATGGTTTCCCTTTTGAAGGGACTGAGAGAGGTAATCTTTTAGATTCCTGGTAATTCATTGGCCCTAATTTAAGGAGAAAACAACAGTCCTTCTTTCTTTCCTTTGGTTTCTTTTCTTGAAATGCTCCTCTACGAAGATAAAGCTACTAGCACCCCACTCCACTCACCTCTAACACCTTCTGAACCTGCCATAACTACACCTTCACTGACAATGATGCCCATAATCTTCATCTCTTGCTTCCTGACATCTTTATTTATTGCCTTTATTTTCCACACTCATCACAGCAGCTCAGATCTCAAGGTTTTGTCATTTCCTTTTTGAAGAATTCTGACACCTGCTTTAATACTGACATGTTTTTGCCTTTTCACTGATCTCATGTCATGTTTAACTCAAAAGCATTCTACTGCTGGGTTTGTTTAAACGAAACTATCTAACTTGGGTAATTTCCCTGAGAAATCAAGCTCCTACATTATGAAGACAATAAAAATTACAGCTTGTTAAATTCAGGAGTTAAAAAATATATATTTTAACTTTTCTTGAGTCTCAATTGCTTTTTTCATCTGATAATTAAGCTCTGAATAGGCGACAAAATCTTTGAAAAGGTATGTGTATAAACAATGACCAATATTTGAGCAAGCAGTTAAAGAAACCCCAAAGGGAACGGCCTGCCTAGAATAGCAGTATAATTCTGCCATTAACTGTAAATGTTTCAAACTTCAAATTTTCTTTCTAGTCAGAAGAAATGTGATGACAAGTTTAACTGTCTGCTTGTGAAATAGTGAAGGGTAGAATCAGTAATGACAAGTTAACTCCCAAGTCAACTTGTCAAAGCCTGAATCCTAAAATACATCATCTTGTGCAGTAGATGTCTGACATTTAACAGCATCAGTTCAACAACTTTCCTCTCTGATGTTACCTAAACTCTGCACATTGAATAAAGCATCAAAAGATATTTTCAACAGAAATGCTGGCCAACTTTAGTATTTCAAATGTTACTGAACAATGGTTTATCATTCCTATTTCAAGGAATTCACATCTTGAAAATCTGAAGTTATTCTGAAGAACTCTAATTATAGAGAAACACATTTTACTAACTGTTCATTCCTTAAGCCTAGTTTTTAAAGCCATATTTTAAAAAATCCATATATCCTATAATAAGATAGTTCAATAAGACATAGAAACCAAGTCCCAAAAATAATAAAACAATTTTCTCAAAGTTGTAATATAATAATCACAAAATACAAACTATCATATTTGAGCCTAGTCTACTGACAAGACCCAGGACAAATGACAGGATCTATAAATTTAGCTGTATAAAAAATGAAATCATCTTTATAAAGAACATTTTAAACACAACTAAAAAGCAAACAACCCATTTCAAAAACGTAACTAAAAAAGATAATATCTTAGGCATTTGTAAAAAATAAAAACACTGAGTCTTGTAGTATACGTTAGCATTTGTTGGCTAAAAAATACTTTATTTTGCTTTCATTTCTGTAAGATATTTTTGTTGAATAGAGTTCTTTAAGCTAATAGTTTCTGGTTTGGCTATTTTTTCCCCCTAACACATTAAAAGATTTCACTATATTATCTCCTGGTTTGCAGTGTTTCTGCCAATACATTCTCATCTTTGTCCCCTATTTTTAATGTTTTTCCCCCCTCTGGTACTTTTATTTTTCCTCACATTGGTTTCCAAGAATTTCAGTATGATATGTCTTGATGTGGTTTGTCTTTATCATGCATGTTATGTTGATATGTGTATTTATAGTTTTTATGAAATTCAGAAATCTTTGGCCATATTTATTCAAATATTTTATATATATACATATATATATATGTATATATATTACTCCATCTTTCTCTTCTCTCATTTTACAACTCTAACTATGTTTACATAAGAATGTTTAATATTGTCCCACAGATCACTGAGGCTCTGCTAATTTTATTTAGTCTTTTCTCTCTGAGCTAAAGTTTTGATAATTTCTATTGTCATGACTTCAAGTTTATTGAGTTTGTTTCTTTTAACATGGTCTACTCTTACATTTAGCTGATCTAGTGAGATTTTCTTTTCATATAGTGTATTTTTCAGCTTTAGAAGTTTCATTTGGTTCCTTCTTTAGATCCATTTTTCTATGTTTATGTTTTCCTTTATATATTTTAATATATTTAGTAATAATTCAAAATTAGTGTGTATATTCTTTGCTAATTCCACTATCCTTCTCATTTCTAGGTCTGTTCTTATCATCTAATTTGCAGCTTTTTCATATCACCAGTAATATTAACTCTGTGCTAGATATCATGAGTGTTAAGTTCAGTGTCAGGGTTGTGCTGTCTTCCTATAAAGGGTACTGATGTTTGTTTTGGCCCCTTTTGCCTATTTGACCCTGGGTAACTAAACTACTTGTGGAGAGGTCTGTTTTTAAGCTTAGCAAGGCATAAATGGAGCAGCCTTTACCTGAGGGCTGGTTTAGCCTTAATTTTCTGGGATTACCTCCTGCAGTCTTTACAAATGCTCTATGTGTTTAATGAAGTCTGTCTAACCTGGCTAGATAAAATTTAAACACACTCAAATAGTGTCTAAACTCTGGGAATTGTTCAACTCATAGCACACCCTGGGAGTACTTTTGCCTGGAGTTTTGACCTGCAAATATGCAGGTTCATACTGAGCTGAAGATGGAAGGGAACTCCTATGAAGATTTCTGAAGCTCGTGCTCTATACATTTTCCCCTCTGCTCTGAACTCTACTTTGCAAAGTTTAGCTACTGTAGATTCTCCAAACTTCTAGCTCCACTCCAACATAGCAAAATCACCATATTCTGCTTGGATCCCCCCATTCCCTGGGCCAAGTACTGACAGGAAGCCAAGGTGATCTTAGGCCTTAAGTCACTTGTTTCCCTTCTCTCCAGTACTGGGAAGCCTATTGTTCCAAAGTCTGCAAATAGTTAATTTGGTCCAGGTTTCTAGTAGTTTAAAATAGGAGGGCATATTCCATGCCAGATCTTCATGGGCAGAAATGGGAGTCCATCACATTTTATTA